CCCAGCTGGTGGCCACCAGGGACCCTCCGCAGGTGTGGAACCACTTGCCTGAGGTGATGTACTGCACAGAGACCTGGGGAGAAGTGTGGGCACCCGGGGCTGAGACGGCCTGGCCGGCTTGAGATCAGTCCATCTCCCCTCTCCCAAACAGTGTACACATACATGCAGGTACACTCGTGCACACAGGCCTGCGTGTACTTGCACCTACACACAATCGCGCACACACACACACACACACACACACACACACACGTCTCTTCTTTTCAGTTTTTGTACCGGGGATCGATCTCAGGTCCTCACGTTTGCGAGGCAGGCGGCGGAACCACTGACCTAAATCCCCGGCCCCACACGTCTCTTCCCGTCCTGAGATGAATTACCCATGCGTTTATCCCCCACTATCACACAAGCGCCGTGAAGGTCCCACAGTTCTGCGCTCCAGATGCCCAGGACGCTGCTCAGCCCCAGCAGATCCTTTGTCAGTGAAGTCAGAGCCTCCGACCTCCACTCAACCCACCTCAGAACGAAAATGTTGGGGAAGACAGTGCGTGGTACTGAACACGAACGGACTTTGTTCCTTTTCGCCGTTCCCTGAACAATGCTGACGGAATCCAACTGCCCCCGCTCTGAGCAGAGACCCCGCTAAAATGCTCACTCCCAGCACAGCTGCACCCGGGGACTCACAAAGCCACCAGCGCCGCTATGGACAGCAGCCACCGCTCCCTGCTCTTTCCCAGGCTGCGTCCTTGCACAACCATTGCTGCCTGGACTCTCTCGAGCCTCGTTCTTGGCAGGGAGCGACACCCCCCTCACTCACCACTCCCTCTGTGACCCTACAGAAGACCCCAGAGCCCGTCGGAGAGCGGCTGGTCTGGTCTCCGGTGCCACAGTGGCCCCTCCCAGGTTTGTTCTGAAATAAACCTGCCCGACTGCGCTCATACCTCCGTTTCTTCTTTCCCTGTTTCCTAACAAATACGGCAGACAATGATTTACAGGGCACTGACATCGCATTGGGTGTTACAGGGAAGTGCGAGGCTGTGTCTTTACATATCATCACTGACGTCTGCGGAGCCTGGTTCCCTCAGGGCCTGGAACCAAGCCCCGTAGACCTGGAGTGGGGACTGACGGAGACCTAAGGACTGAATGAAAGAACAAGCCAGGAAGGTCTGGTAGCTCTTGTGGATCTTGTCATCTGCTATAGTTTCTCCCTGCAGACTAAATCCACTCAGAGGCATACGAGAGAGAAAGCATCAGTGGACCCTTAGCCCCTGCGGTCTTTGACATTGTGTGTGCGTGTGCGTGTGCGTGATACAAACAGCTTCTGTTTAGCTCTGCTAGTCTAACAGGTATGGACTGGAACTGCGAGGCACGAGCGTCTGATCCCGCTTCAGGGTATAACAACGCTGCCCCGCACCCTGTTTCCTTCGTCCCTCCCTGTCTTTCAGTCTTTCAAGTCCTTGCCATGGCCAAGCACAGAGGAAGAGGGGACTGCGGACTGCTTGGAGTCAGGCTGTTTCCTATAACTGTGGGCGGGTGAGCACTTCACGGGCTGGCTTTCCTCTGAACATCCTCATTTTTAATTAGGCGCTTGGCATTTCTCCTTTGATCAACATGAAGGGGCCTTGGCCTTAGATAAACTGGATTTGCAAAAGATGCTGGGCTGGGGATGTAGCTGGTCACGGTAGAGCACTGGTCTAGCACAGGTGAGGCCCAGAGTTCTGTCCCCAGCCCCGAAAAAAAATAATATGTTTACAATTAGGCACAATGAAAAAAGACACAGAAAACAGACGGCCTTCTAGTCTAAACGTAGTCCCAAAACATCCCACAGGCGTGAAATTTTGTCTGCAGAATGTGTATTGAGAACAAAAAGCTAAAAGAGCTAAGAGTGAACCAAATCTGAGTCCTCACTTTCCTCCGGGGTCACTGAATGGCTTTGGGCCATGATGTAACCATTCTGAGTCCCATTTACCTAGTTTGGAAAATGGGCCGTAATGATCACTGTGCAGAGTGCTCAGGACGTTTAATGCTTACAACATCCGACATTTCACATTTCTAATATTTTTTTTAATCTGTGTACCCAGTATGGCCTTGAACTTACAACCTATGTGCCTCAGCCTCCTGAGTGCTGGATGACACGCCTAGCTTTAAATTCTAGTGTTTGGCATCGCTAGACACCATCCTGAGCTCATGTCATAACCACAGCCACCCTGGGAGGGGCCATTGTTATTTGTATTTTACAGATGAGTAAACTAAGGCAGCTATATGCATATCTACTATGTAGTCAATGCCATAAAAACTTTCTCTCTCTCTCCCTCTCTCTCTCTCTCTCCCCCTGTATTTTGTGATACTGGAGATTGGACCCAGGGCCTTCATACTAAGTTATGGCTTCAAGTCTTTTAAATTTGAGACAGGATCTCATTCGGTCACTATATTTTCCAGGCTCTTGTGATCTTCCTGCCTCAGCCTCCCAGGGTGCTGGGAATATGGGCATGCGATACCATACCCATCCCATTCAATATTTCCAATATTACTTATGGAGAAAGGTTAATTTAATTGTTCCAGGTAAGAGAAATAGTACTTCGTGGAGGTAAGATTGTAACTTGGTTAGACCTGCCCACCAGCCAAAAAAAAAAAAAAGGCCTACAGCAGTGGGGAGTCTCCCATGACTGGCATCCCCGGCTCCCCAGGTGAGGAGATGATTGTACATGCAGTGGCGATTAGATCCCAGGGTGAGGATCTGGTAGGTAAGGAGGTGGTAGAGAGGCAGCACAAGTTTTCAGCACAAGCGCACCTCACAGGATGGATCTGTAGCAGAGGGGCGGTGGCCCTTCTCCCCGCATCCCAGAGGAAGCTTCCTGGGAGACTGTGAGAGGGGGGAAAAGCTCTGCGCTTTCTTTTTTTGCGGTACCAGGGATCGAACTCAGGACCTTGCCCTTGAGAGGCAGGCACAGCAGCACTGAGCTACATCCCTGGCTCCTGGCTCTGTACTTTTGCTGCTGATTTAGGTGTCTGTGAGCAAGTGGGCAGGCTGAGGGGAAAATGACAGCAATGGAAGGGGCTCGTTCCTCAGATTGCTCGTGAGTGTCTCAAAGTTGCTATTTTTTTAAAGAACTAGACTTGCAGGGCCAGGGGTTTAGCTGCCTGCCTCACAAGTGCAAGGGCCTGAGTTTGATCCCTCGTACGCCCCCGCCCTAAGAACTGGACTTGCAGATGCTGTGTTATGGGGGAAAGGACTCAGAAGATCAAGCCAGGAGTGGTGGCACCACTCGAGAGGCTGAGGCAGGAAGATCGCTATGTGTTCAAGGCCAGCGTGGGCTCCATAGTGAGTTCAAACAATCAGTGAATGAATGTATATTTATGGGTTCTAAATTAAAATATTGAAAACCTATATCTATGATTTAAAATAATTTTCTACACTCAACTTTTCAATTGCTCTGTCCCAATTATGTCAGATAAGGGAAATTTTTACCATGTTTATGTCAGTTGTAAACTTCACACATTTCCTTGGAAAGTTCGATCAGTAACATCATATGAATTTGTGCCTGTGCCTCATCTAATATTCTAGTCTTGATAGCCCTACGGTTACATCAGACGGATATAATCCGCTGATAACATTCATTGGCCTGTGGTTGAAGGCTAATTTGCATAAACTGCCTCGATTGGATGCTTAAAGCAGGGAAGATTTACATAGATGGTGATGAATGGTTCATAAAATAATGGTACATTAGTAAGCCAGCATGTAATTGGCTAGCAGAGCAACAATGTTCGTAAACTGCTGCCTCTGGGCAGTAGGGTGGGGCAGCTTCTTAGCAAAGCTGGAGGAAGCCCCTCTTCCCCCTGCCCCACGGTTGGCCAAAGGCACAGAAATGGCCTTGCCGCACTGAGTTTCCGCCAGTCCTCCTCTGCCAGCAGAAGAGACCTGTGGTCGAAGAGCAAGTGTGTGATGAGAGAGGAGTGGGCAGGGGTGAGCAAGGACAGCTGGTTGGCTCACCTGCCAGGGCCAGCTGTTGGGCCTCGCATCTTCTCCTCCAACCACCCTGCTCTGCTGGGGCTGGTAAGCGGGGAGCCCGCAGCTGAGGGCTGTGAAGAGAGGAAGCGCCTTCAGTGCTAGGAGCAGCAACCCGGTGGTGGACACTGTGTGCCGCACATGGAACCCCAAACGGAAACCCAGTTCTGGAGGGACCCAGGAGGTCGGGCCGTCCTGTCCTCTGCCCCCTCTGCTGAACGCCACTGCGGTGATCTCATAATCATGGCACTGAACTCGGGGACTCGGGAGGTGAGGGTGTCCCAGCCTTCACAGGGGTTTGGGGAGCAGTGCTCGAGGGTGACTTCTTACCTGCAGCCACCAGTGTGCACAGCAGCAGGGCCCTGATCATGGTGTGGCCGTGGGACTCCTGTGAGTGTGGCCCTGGCCATGGTCCTGCTTTATAGGTCTGTTTATTAGCAGGTGCTATTTCGGGAGCGTACAAGGTGGCGATTTTCTCAAAGATTGATGGAATAAGGGGCTGAGTCCAAATATTTTTTTCCGTTTTTCTCCCACCTGTTACTTTGAAATACATTGATAATGACGCTAAAAGTAGGTGTGGAAATGTGTTTTTTCTTTCTTATCATTCGTGTGTGTGTGTGTGTGTGTGTGTGTGTGTGTGGTGCTGGGACTTGAGCCTGGGGCCTTGTACATGCTAGGTAAGCACTCTACTGCTGAGCTCCACCCCCAGCTGTTTTTAAATTTTTTTTTACTTTGACACAGGGTCTTGCTAAGTTGCCTAGACTGAGCTTGAACTGTGATCCTCCTGCCTCAGCCTCCCAGAGTGCTGGGATTACAGCTGTGTGCCACTGCACCTGGCAAAATGTGGATTGTATCTGCTTTTAAGAGATTATGTTATGTGTTAGGGGAGGAAAAATTACTGGTTGTTGGTCCTTGGGGTTGCATTTCCAAAGCAAAGATTAAGCTGGTGTGTTGAATGCACAACATCGAGATCCGACATTTTCAGTGGGGCTGGTGTAGCCTCCAGGGGACACTTGACAATGTCTAGAGACAGTTTTGGTGCTTGTGGCCGGGGTGGGAGATCATGGTCTCTAGAAGGCAGAGAGCAGAGAGGCTGCAAACCTCTGACAAGCACAGGACACTTGAAATAGTCTCACTTAAAGGTCAATGGTGCTGAGAGCAAGCGGCCCTGTTCTGGCCCATGGCTCGGCTTGCTTCGTGACTGGGGATGAGCCAGGCAGGTCTCTAGGCCGGCGCTGTCTAGTTGTGAAAGGGGCTGAGGAATGTTGTCAGTCAGTTCCTGTAGAAATGTCTCCCGAGTAAACGTATGACAGGGGTTTGTTTTGCCTCAAACAAAGAATTGAATGAGACAGTCCGAAAGGGCTGCCAAAGTTTATTTCAAAATCAAGGGGTGAAGGGATGAGGGAAGATCTGGCTCTGTAGAGCACACGGGCCAGACACGGAGAGGAAAGGATGAAAGCAAAACAAAAGTGAGACCATGTCTAAACAGACAGACAAACAAAAGCTATTGAGCTACTGAATTCCCTCTCTCTCTCTGTTTTGTTTTGTTTTGTTTTGTTTTTTTAGTACTAGGGATCAAACTCGAGACCTTGTGCTTGTGAGGCAGGGAGCAGCACCACTGAGCTAAATCCCCGGCCCGTCTGTCTTTTTTTGAGACAGGGTCTTGCTATGTAGTTAAGGCTGGCTGTGCACTTACTATGCGTTCCAGGCTGGTCTCGAATTCATGGCAATCCTCCTGTCTCAGCCTCCCAAATGCTGAGGTTGCAGGCATGGGCCACCACACCTGGTACGAATGTGGCATTCTGCTCTGTGCTTCTGTGACTGTTTTGGTAGAAAAATAATTTTTTTCCTCCAGGGGCCACCAGACAAACATCCGTTTGGCACATGCGTGGGCTGGCTGTGTGACCTTGTGTAGCTGGGACTGCCAAATGGAATTTTAAAAGTTAGCCTTTTCTTCTAGAGATAAGCGACTTCTCTAAACTTCCTCCTGCTGGGCATACAGCCAAAAATTCTGTCCTCTCCTCAGCCCAAAGAGAAGTGGCCAAACATACAGGTGCCACCCTCCTGGCAGCGGAGAGCCTTTGCACAAGGGTTCGGAGGATGGGCTGAAGGTGGCTGGAAGAGCCGAGCCAGTGAGGAGCTCTGCGTGGTCTCTGTCGCCTTCTCTGCGCTGCTCCGCACTGTAAATCTCCTTGCCCACGTGTACCTGGGGAGATGGTGATGTGAACAAACAGGGCCCTGGACCTCCTCAGAGCTAGCATTGTATAAATCCTTCCCCTCTTCCTTGGGGCCTCCTTTGGTTTGGTCACTGGTGAGCATACGCCCTGAGCCTGTGGTCCTGATCAGCTGGGACATTTGGGCAGGCGACACTGGTTCTCCGGCTCAGGGTAGGAGAAGGGACAGGTCCTGTTTGGCCGTGTTGCTGTGGGGATGGGAAAGAGACACAAAACCCCACCCAGGAAGTCAGCTGTTGGGTCCTAAGGGGAACAGGAGCAGCCCGGCTCCAGGCACAGCTGGGTGTAGGCGCTGATGAGGGCACAGGGCCGAGTTCCTCCCCTCCTGGGCCCTGCCTTCCACTGTGAGGTCCACCCTCAGGCTGCATGGAGGGATCTGGGACGCCCCAGATTCTCCTTCCCCTGGGGACAAGAGCCTTGCAGAACCTTTGGCCCAGGGCATCTCCGCTGCATCAAAGCCCCTGGCGTTTTGGACTGGAGGATGCTTTGTCCTGTGCTGCACACGCAGTTGACACCAGTAGCCCCCACCCCCAAGTTCTGACAACCAAGGAAGTTTTGAAACACTGCGACTCCTCCTTCCTTCGGCCGAGGGTGACCAGAGGGCTTTGCGGCTCAGGAGGACCTACGTGCCCTCTCATTAGACCCGGCTTTATTCACGTGACCACCCTGAACCAATTGCTGGGGAGGGGGAGGGGACGCAGTGTGCGGATTGGCCAGGCCTGGAGCATGCGCGCGCTCTCTCTCCTTGGGCCTGAGCGTCCAGGTTGGGTTAAGACCAGTATCCCAGTTTCTGGGTTGAGCTGGCCCTGGACAAAATACCAGGCTGGGAGGAGAGGAAGCGGAGGCCGGGCAGTTGGGGGAATGCGTAGCCCCTACAGCCAGTCCCCTCTCTGGGCGGAAGGTCCCCATTGCCGTGTTGTCTGACAGAGTGGCAGGCTGTCAGGTTCTAAGTGGGGCAGCGGGTGCAGTGTGCGTTTCCCGTGGGTTTATGACTCATTGGAAATGAGCAGTCGCGCAGATCCCGGCTCAGGGCTTAGCTTGCACCTGGGGCTTCTGTGCCGTGACGCCGCACAGTCTGGGTCTTTCCTTCTGAGCGTGCTCAGGAGCAGCCCGGTGGACGGCTGTCTTCGCTGTTAGAACAGCGGAGCCTCCCCCAGACCTGTCATGACACTGGAGAAACTCTGCTACCGCGCACAGTCTGCCTCTCTCTCCCTCAGTTTCCTCACCTACCAACAGGAGCAAAACAACAGAACTGATCTCTTACCACGGGGTTACAATCAACACTCTGTCTCCTAAGCGCTCACAATTGTACGTGTGCAATAAACGTCGACTCATTACCCTTTAGTCGTGTAGGCGTTGGAACAACATGGGATTCTTCCAACTTTCCCATCCAAGAATTCCGGTAGACCCAGAGTGGGGAAGCTTTTTGTTCTTTGTATTGGAGACTGAACTCAGGGCCTTTGCCCTGAGCTTTTTCCCCAGTCCCCACCCCCACTTAAATTTTTTTTTTTTTTTTTAAATTTGGAGACAGGGCTCTGCAAGTCACTAAGTTGCCTCGGCTGAGGCTGAATTTGCCATCTTCCTGCTTAAGCCACCACTGTACAAGCTTTCTGTGGAAAAGGCCAGACAAGTATGTTTTAGGCTTGTGGCCATATGGTCTCTGTCTGAAGCAGTCTGCTGTTGTAGTGACAAGCAGCCGTATGGCCGGAGCTGTGTTCCAATAAAACTTTATTTACAGAGCAAGGTTGCCGTGCAGGCTGTAGTTTTCAGTACAGTGATGATCTGAGGTATTGCATGCTGCAGTCACAACAGCAGGAGGTCCGTGAGTTGTGGCTGCAAAGCTTAGTTTGAATTTTGTCATTTTATTTTAATGCAATGGTTTAATGCACAGTTTATTTTAATGCAATGGTTTCTCCTCTCCCCATCTTTGCAGAAAACCGATGTTTTGGGAAGACGCGTTCTGTTTACTCTCCGACTTCACGTGGCCCCTGGCCCATCCCCACATAGCTTTTGGTGGACAAGTGTCCCAGTGTGGCAAGAGGGAGCTCCCTGGGTTCCGAGGACAGGCTGCAGGCTCGAGGTCTCCCAAGGAGCAGAAGAGAGGGAAGATCTGATGTCAGGAGGCCGGCACAGCAATGCCTTCTCCTCTTCACCTCCTGCGTTATTTCAGGGAGACAGGGCGGGTTTGCCCATTTGACAGGTGGGAAAAACGGGGGCACAGAGAGGCTCAGTGCCGCAGCTCCTGGCCCTGCCTGTGAGTGGCAGAGTTCAGACCTCTGGCCCTAAGCGTCCCCTCCCTTCTGTCCTGCCATTGCCTGTATCACAGCTGATGTGAGCAGCGTCACTTGCCAAGACGACCCTGCTTCTTCACCCTTTCCCGTGCCAGGCCCTTGCCCACGTGACCGCACCGTGCCCCACCCGTGCAGGGGAGGGGGAGAGGAGGGGAGGGCGGTGCGTGCGCTCCCGTCCGGTCGGGAGGTGGTTCGGCACCTGACGTGGAGACAGGGTGTGGCAACGCCGATGTGACGAGATCCCGGGCAGCGCCAGATAATTCCACGGACCCCGTGGGCGGACCGTCTCACTGCTCCTTCAGGATGTGGACGGTGTGAAGCAGATGAGACACGAGAGGCCCCCACTATCCTGACTCTTCACGGTACCCACTCTGTCTCCCAGACCAGGGCGCACTTTTATTTTTGCTTTCACCCTTTCCGCTCTCTGTTGGGCCCAAGTGTGCTCTGCAGAGCCAGTTCTTCCCTCGTCCCTTCACCCCTCACTGTTCGAATAAACTTTTGGCACCATTTTTTGGCTTTTCTCATCCACTTCTTTGTTCGAGGCAAGAAGGACCTGGATACTTTTATTTACTTATTTATTTTGTTTGTTTGTTTTCTTTTTGAGGCAGGCTCTCGCTATGTAGTTGAGAATGACCTGAACTCACTGTGTAGCCCAGGCTGGTCTCGAACTCACAGAGATCCTCCTGCCTCAGCCTCCCGAGTGCTGGGATTACAGGCGTGCACCTGGCTACCTGGATACTTTTAATTGGTGAGCCATTTCTACAGGAACTGCCCGACGACACCGTGATGCATCTCTATTATTTTTTCAATCCCCTTCCCTCCCTCTCCCTCCATCTCTTGGTCCCCTTCCCATTTTTATCTATCTCCCTCTTTCCCATTACCTATTTTTATTTTGCTCTTTGTATTTTGAGTTTCGCATACAGCAATGTTGAAGCTTGTGTGCCGATTTATTTGACTTAGCATTATGTTTTCAAGGTGCCTCTGTTTTCCTACAAATGACTCAGGCCTATCCTTTTGTATGACAGAATAGTACTCCGTTGTGTATAAATACCACTTTTCCTTCCTTTATTCATCTACTGATGGGCATACAGGATGCCTTCAGGATTTAACTGTGCGCACTCCTTGTTGAATGACAAAGTTACAGCCCATGACTGGGTTGGTAACTGAATCGGTCGCTAAATGAGGAATTGTATATAGTATGTACAATATTCAGAACAAAGAAATGACCAAAGGAAACTTACCTGCAGTACTGTGACGTGTAACCGTACGGTCGGCAACAATTACGGCACTTGGAGGAAGCCGCCCCAGGGCCACTCGGCCGCTCACAAATCTGCGTCCCAGGGGTGCAGAAGGAATTGGCAAGTGACGCGCACATCGAGCAGAGCTGAATGGAAGTGAAACAATCACAAGTTTATTTTGCGAGCAAAGGTCGAAGAGCGCTCAAAAAGGCAGTGATTGGCCTCGTACTGGGCTGCAGCTCCCTTTTATAGGTTTTACAGCTACCATCTCTTTCACGCGGTTACGTTTCATTTCCTCAGTTCACATCACCCACGAACAAGTTACAGTAACCAGACGGTTCACTGTCACCCAGACGTAACAGTTCCTTGTAGTCAGGGAGTCACCTCGAGCTTTGCCTATCCTAGTGCACAGGAAGGGGCGATCAAGGTCAGGAGGAGGCCAGATGCCCATTTCACTGTCAGCGCCTCGGGCGTCTGTTAATTTCGAACTAAACAAAGCAGACTGCTGTTAGAGACCGCAGAAGCCATTCTACATTTTCGTAACATTTTGTAGGATTTTAGATTATTTACAAAAGTTTTCTGTATCCGTAAAGCCGAAGGAAGGCCTTAAATCCGAATACTGTGCGTGGATCATAAGCCTCCAAATCGTCACATGGGTAGGTCATTAAACAAGGGTGTTCTCAACTCTTTTGTGCAGACACCTTGAAGTGGGGAGCCTGGGTCCAGTGGCATTTCTAGTTTTAGTTTTCGGAGGCATCTCCACCCTGATTGCACTCGATTCCATTCCCTCCTCCGATGTAGAAGGATTCCTTTCCTCTGCAGCAGCCTTGGGAGCAGTTGTTATTACTTGATTTCCGTGGTTTGAGCTTGCGTTTCTCTCATGGGGGCTGCATTTGTTTTGGGTCTAGATGAACTCTGGACCCTCATGGTGGCCTCCTCACCTGGCCTCTCTGCCTCCACGCTGGCCTGCTCCCAGCTGCCTCCTCTTAGCCGCCAGCCAGCTGCCTCAGCATGACCCCAGCGATTGTCTCTCTACTGAACCTTCTGTGGCTCCCCACTGCCCATTGAATAAAATCCGGAGAACCCCCACCTCAGCACTATGGCGAGCCATCATGGCGAGCCTTGACACAGGCCTAGCCATGATTGAACTTTGAGTCCCCTCGCTGGCACAGACGTGCTCTCGCCCATAGCCACGGGCGAGTTCAGCTGGTAGCAGATGTAACCCATAATGGTGGTTGTTGTTTCCATCTGGAATGTGTGGGCGGTACTCTCGCTCCCGTGCAGCCCTCGCTCCCGTGCAGCCCTCGCTCCCGTGCAGCTGGACAGTATAAAAGGGAGAGGTTCTGTAATAAAGCAAGCAAGGAACTTGAGAAGAAAGGTGTCTCCCGTCTCTCTGTCCTCGTCCTTTCAGGTTTAGGACCTGCTGGCAGGATCCTGACGTCGCGGCTCGCGACACAGCACAAGGGCTTCCTCCAAGGGCTTTGCTCCCTTGCTGTTGTTTGCTGTTCTGTGTTGGGCTTTTGGACCCTGCTCTGGATTAACGCCACAGTTCTGCATCTTGGAAAACTCCCTAGTCCAGGGCACACCAGGATGCCTGGTCTCCCCACCCCGCCCAGGCCTCCGCTCTGCAGTACCCACTGCTGGAGTCCCTGCCACTCAGGTGCTGTGACTCGGCCCCTGTCCTTCCTCAGCTTGGAAAATGACCGCTTTGTTTTTCCCTCTTGTGCCTATTAGGACTGTGCTGAGCTGCAAGTAGCTGGAAACCTACAGCAGCCAAAGCAAATGCAGATTTCTTTATTTATTATTTTTACATGTAACACATGTGAAGGGGACAATTGCTGGCCTCAGCTCTGCAGCTTGATGGACTCGAGGCAATTATCTTATCACAAATTGGCTGCCTTAGCACCAGCCATCACATCCACAATCGAGGCAAGGAGGGAATAGACGTGAAGGGGACAATTGCTGGCCTCAGCTCTGCAGCTTGATGGACTCGAGGCAATTATCACAAATTGGCTGCCTTAGCACCAGCCATCACATCCACAATCGAGGCAAGGAGGGAATAGTGCAGCATCAGCTGGGCCAGACCCCGTTTTATGAGGAAACATTTGCTTTTTCAGCAGACTTCTCCTTACACTGCAGGACAGTAGAGTGTGGTGGTCCAGTGAGGGTCTCTGGCGCTAGATCACCAAAGTGTGGTTCCTTCTAGTTAAGCCACCTTAGGAAGTCGCTGTCATCCCCCCACCTGCTCAGCTTTCTCATCTTTAAAATAAGGACAATGCTTTTATTTAAAAAAATGTTTTTTTTCTGTTACCAGGGACTGAACCCAGGGCCTTTTCACTGAGCCACATCCCCAATCCTTGGGGACCTTATATTAAAATTTTAAGACCAGCTTGGGCGTCACCACCTCCACGAAGCCACCTGGGGGTTCCTCCTGCTGGCTGATGCTGGCTTAAGGACCTCATCCCATGCTCCTGGCCTGTGCTCCTACTTTCGCAATTCTGGGTGCTGTCCAGGGTGTGTGCCGCCCAGAGCTGGGCAGGGTCCAGTTGGAACCATCCTTGGGTTCCCAGCACAGCTGTGCCAGCTCCTTGTGAGCCCACTGTTAACTCCTGGAAATCTGCTGCAGTACCGTCCCCTGCCCCCCACCCCGGCCCGGGAGCCTCAGTTGGACAGGGAAAGGGTGATTCGCAGGGCCTGTCAGCGCAGCTGGAGCCCAGGGCTCTGTGAGGAGATCAGGGCCTGGGGGCGGACCGGCGGGTCACCTGCTCTCAGAAGACCCCAGACCCCAGCAGCCGGGACAGGGCAGCCACCTGGACGCCCCTGATGGACCCCGGGCCCTTGGACATTGGGCCCAGCGCCCTCCCGTTGGCCTTGCAGCCCATGCTTTGCTGGCTGTCTGTTCCTGGGAGCTTGCGCAGCTCTTTCTCACTCTGGGCCTCAGTTTCCCCACCTGGCTCACGCAGTGAAAGCTTTTCCTGTGACTGTGAGGACAGCATTGCTTTCCTCCCTCCTGTGCCCCTCAGAGCTGGGGGCCCCTTCTCCTCCTGGGCCCTCCCCCGGTCAGGGCTCGGGCCAACAGCATCCGTGAGCGCTGCGCTGGAGGGTGAGGGTCCAGTGGCCTGAGCCGTGTCCTCCTGTGGCCTGGCCTCTCCCATGGGCAGATTCCCGTCCTCCACCTGGGCCAGGGCCAGGGCCTGGGGATTCCGTTAGACTCCTCCACGGGGCAGGATGGGAGAAGCCCTGCTCCGGTCAGGGTGAGCTGGGTCACGGCTTGAGACAGAGGGACAAGAGTCTCCAGTGTCGTGTGTGTGTGTGTGGACTCTAGAGATGGAGCCCAGGACCTCCACACCGAGCTGCACACCTAGCCCTTGGTACCTGTTAATTTGACATGGGGTCTTGCTAAATTGCCACGTTGTCCACACTGGGTTTGAGCTTGTGAACCTCCTGTCTCAAGTCTCCCACAGTGCTGGGACTGCAGGTGTGCACCCCACCCCCAGCTTGCGGTGTCCCTAATCTTGGCCCCTCCAGCCCAGCTGAGGGTCCCTCTCTTTCCCCTGGCATGGGCGGGGTGACCCCATGGAGCATAGGAGACAAAAGATCAAGGTCCAGGCTTCTGGGACGGAGGTTTTATTGTTGCAGGGTTGGTGGCCGGGGCTCCTGGAGGAATCACAGCTGCAGCTTCTGGAAGGGCAGGCGAGGGTGAGAGGCTGGCAGCCGGGGGACCCCCTGGGGCGGGTGAGCGGGGCTGCAGGAGTAAGTGGCGCAGGTGGGGGCTGGCACGCACCTGGTCGATCCAGGTGGTGTAGGCAGACACGCGGGTGAAGACCACTGGCTTCTGGCGGGTGTTGCAGCCCAGTGGGGAGCCGAAGCTGACGATGCCGTGCACCTTCCAGGACCCGTTCTCCGCTTGGCAGTTCAGCGGGCCGCCCGAGTCACCCTGCACCGGGCAGACAGATGGGTGAGCTCCAGGCCTGCCCCAGGGGCAGTGGGCAGCAGGGTGGGCTGGCTCTCAGGGTCTCAGATCTCTCTCCTTGCTCTGGGAGGCCCTGGGCATCAGATTAGCCCTTGGTTTGCCATGTGATCCTGGGACGATGCCAGCTCTCCTGGTGCCTGTTTCCCTGGGTGTTCAGGAGCCTCCGTGAGCTGCCCGGGCCGGGAGGAGGCTGGGAGTTGTGGCGGAAACAGAAGTGAGGTGGTGGGGTGGGGCACGGGGCAGCGGTTGGAAAAAGGGTGGTCTCTGGTTATCTCAGGTGTTGCCAGGCTCTGGCCAGACCGAGTCCCCTGTCCCTAGGGCTGGCGCTGTGGATGGTGGCAGGACCGTGTGCAAGGACTTCCCTGACACCTTTTCTGTGGCTCGGCCCTCACGGCACCTCTCAGGCCCATTGTGCCCCCACGGTGGCCCCGCTGTACAGAGGAGTGAGTGTAGGACAGCTTCAGCAGTCCGTGGTGATGGCCACGTGGCCGCCCTGGGTCTGGAACTCAGCTCCTCGTGCTCAGCTCCCCGGGTCCCATGGCTGGGCCAGGGCAGAGGGTGGGTGGAGGGGACCGCTTTCCTGCAACCCTGTGGGGTCCGTGCAGCTACCTCCCCAGGAAGGGTTTGCTGGCACACCCCGCTCAGTGTTCGCCCCGTCCCCGTCCACCAGGGCACTCACATTGCAGGCGGAGATGATACCGTCGCCACCGGCGCAAATCATCTTGTTTGTCACCCGGAAGCCCCACCAGGACCACTTGGAGCACGTGGCGTGGTCCACCACGGGCTGCAGACCCTGCTGCAGCACGTCGGCAATGGGGCCGTTGGCTGGGGAGAGAGGGCGGTCGGTGAGCAGGGACACGGCCGAGCAGGGGTCCCAGTCCTGCAGGGTGCAGAGGCCTGGTTAGGACGCAGCGCCGAGAGCCAGCTGCAGGAGGGACACTCTCGAGGGATAGCTGCGGTTGGGTGGTCTTTCACTTCGGTTGTGTGTGGGGGGGTGGTACTAGGGAATAAACCAGGGCCTTTGCACTGAGCCACACTCGACCCCTCAGTTATATATATTTTTTACTTTGAGACAGGGTCTCACTAAGTTACTGAGTCCCCGAGTGGCGGAGGCTGGGGTTGAGCTTGTGATTCTCCTTCCTCAGCCTCCCGGAGGGTTGGAACCGCAGGTAGGCACCACCGTGCTCTCCTCCTCCTCCTTTAGTGCTGGGGACGGAACCCAGGGCCTAAATGGACACCACTCGCGAGGCCTTTCTCGCCCCGAGATAGTCCGCGGACCAACCTGCATCTCCCTAAGACTCCTGCGGTTGCGTTTCACCTCTGAGTCCCGCTGGAGTTTCTTCGGGCACACGGAGAATCACGCGACCCGGTCTCCGACCCCCACGTGACCAGACGCATTCCCACGCCAAGCCCTCGAGCAAGTCTGATCGCACGCAGCGTGTACTCGGTAAGTATCAGCTGCTACGACAGCTTGGAACCATGGGGACGCGCTCAGCCCGCGGGAGGGCGAGGGCGTGGGAGAGGCGCCCGCCCTGGGAAGCTCTGGG